TGTTTACCCCCCCCCCCCCCCTCCCTCTGGTTACAAATATTTGTCGTTCTTACGAAAAGGATTCCATTCGCCGAGTGGAATTCTTTTCGTAAAAGAATCTCTTTCTTTTCGAAAAACAATTCTCGATGCTATATAGAGCGTTATATTTTTAAAGGACGAGACTTTACACAATAATAAATTTTAGCAAAAAGTTTTTCGCATATATCACGTCATATACTGTTCGCCCACGACCCGGATATTACGTCATGCGTAATAAGTAGCTCACCGCGAAAATAACAAGACGCCATATCCTCTTGTACGTTCACATCTCCATTGATATCTATTTAAGTGCGGCCCGAGAATAACGTCGCGAGAACGCCAGAAGGATCCGATGACGTCAAAAGAATGGTAACTTAAAACATTCCTCGCGAACTGGGAAGCACCGTATAAAACTCCGGCGAAGTTACCTAGGTAAGGTAAAAGCACGGCTTTGCGGACGCACGACGCGCGACAACACAGTTGTCCGATTTCTGCGACCCATTTCCGTCGGCGGTCGACGTGAATAAAGATGTTTATTTTTCCCGGTGCTTTTCCAGTAACATTTCCCTCTCAGCTTCCCTACTCGCTCTCTCCCTCTCTTTTTTTATTTCGTATTTCTACGAATTTCCCGCTTTTTCGTTGCCTCTCTCCTACGTGCGGTTGACACTTGTATAGACGCGTCATTCGAATCGCGAGATCGAGCACGAGCGGCAAGCAGTTTTGTCCTTTTCGCCGCCTCCTCTGTGAACCATGGCCGCCAATTCTTCAAGTCTTCGATCCGATGGAAAACGAAGGATTACCCTCCGAAATGGTTACGAAAACCCGACCGCATATGTCACGCGGAGTAAAGCGATCGCGATCGACAAAGAAAGAGAGGGAAGAAAGATTTCTCTATCGTTTTACCTGATCTACGGCGTCGGCTGCGGGATTGTTGCCGGTGTTGCTGATTTCCGAGGCGTCCTCTGCGATCGAATGATCGCCGATTGTACTGTTGTCGCTTACGACGAGGCCCAGCAGGCATATCTGTAAAAAAGCCGAAAAATAACTTATATTAATAAAAATTATTAAAGATTCGAGATATATTGTCGATTTATATGGTTTCAGTCATATTCAATGAGTAATAGCGACGCTATTATTCATTGACTTCATAACACGGTAATTTGTCCTATATTCTCGCTATATTCTCGCTAAGATATAGAGTCTCAGCCTTTACAATAGATAACAATGGATCCTGTCACTATATAGAAAATTTATGCCGAGGATTGCCAAAGGGATGAGGAGTTCCGTGGTTTCACGGTCTAGAATAGTGCACGTGGTCGAATTAATATAACACGTGTTGAAGAGAATCGAGAAGATGAAATTTGCGTGTGTCTGGCAATGCTACTGCAAACTACTACGCATGTTATTTTATCGAGTATCGTTACGTAATCAGCTTTTCAGGAGACTATAAAGCGAATTCCTAGAAATATTCGCTATTATTGATCGTAATTCGAATAAAGAACATCCATTTTTAACGACGAGAGAGAGAGAAAGAGAGAGATGTAGTATAAAATGTGCGGTGTAGGGTAAAGTAACGAGGGATATCAAACGGATATTAACCGCCGAGAGTCTGGACGTCGTTCGGATTGCCCGCGTGTATCCGTGCGGAAGCTGCAGCAGTTGCAGTCTCCGCAACCTTTGTCAGAAGACGCAATTCGTTTCCGCGAGCCACGGCGAGCAACAACAAAGTAAATCCGGTCGGCCGTCGCCGGGATAAAAGAGTGCGCAAGAAGGAGCAATTTAATTGTGGCCGGAAAGTACCGAGCCCGAAAACGGATATCCACTTTCTGGTATTACACTACAAGGAGAGAAACTTTTATAACAAGCCACCCGCGCCCCACCAACATCCGTCGTCCTTTCCCAGCCGCACACGTAGAGTGCCCGGAACCAAATTTCCCAACCGGAGGAGATTCATATTTTACGACGGTCTCCGCCGCCGCCGGTGCATAATACATTTTTGTCGAAACAATCGACCGTCTGCCGCGGAAGCATTAGTCACGAGCGCTCGCGGAGCATATAACGATTCGATCTCGTCGGATTACAACGAGATATGGGGCAACATTTCACCAGCAATCGCTCGAACAAAAATCAAACGTATAAATCTAATAAATAGCGATGATTGAAAGTCGCAAATATCATCGATTGCAATCGCAAAGTACTGTAGTTTCTTTTTTTTTATCCTATATAAATCTTGTTATATACTGTAAAAAAAATTAACAAACTTCAGACAATATCTGCAGCTTTTTTGCAGACACACTGTCTGAATTTTCAGACACACTTCAATTTTCAGACAAACTCTTTTAAACTTAAAAAAAAAAAAAACGACTGTAATGATTAAGATAGATTGTCTGAAATTTCTTTCAAGCATCCAGATTTGAAAACTTCAAACAAAAATGTGTCTGAATTTTTAGAAAATTTTTTATAGTGTACGTAAATCAATATTATCTTTCTTAAGAGCTGCTCACACCGTTTTTAATTCGTGGGATTACATTTCTTTCTCAAGGTTTATATCGAGAATTTGTAAAATTCGATAATTTTCTTAATTGCTGCAAATATTTATACAGAAAGTATATTTCCCGATTCGATTTTCTTTCTGTTCAAAGAGCATTTTTGTTGAATGTTAAGAATCGCGCCGCTCATCTTTGGAATATTCGCATCCTTTCGTCGTCGTGACTCACACAAAGAGATTCCACCGTGACGATGAGAGAGCGTGTTGGTATATTTTATGGTACGCAATTCTCTCTCTCTCTCTCTCTCTTTCTCTCTTCGCGTGTGCTTCATTAAAGTCTAACATACGAAAGGAATATACGCCAGAGTAATCAGCCGATGTGTATATTTGGTCGTTCGCGCATCTCTTGCGAGAGTATATATTCGCCTCGCCGCGCATTCGTTTAACGTCGGCACGTGACATATGCACGACGTATGCCCGTAAAGATCCGTCGACGATGGAGTTTAAGGTCTGCGCTGCAACGTTATTAGCGATAAATTTAGGAGACTTGTGCCGCCCTATAATTAAAGGTAAACGGTCGGCGTCTCTCGCGGGCCCTTAGAAAATGAACTCGTACAGATTAAGATTAGTACGAAGAAGAGTAACCACGAAACGTATTCCGTTATGGGCCTGTAACGTTTACAGACGTATGCTTTTCAGGCTGTTATTAGGCGTTTTGATTAAATGGTGAAGAAGACGCGATATCGGTGATCGTAAGTCACCGTAATATCATGGTACTAATATGATTAAATCGTGGGTTCAAAGTTGTTTTTTTAATGATATTTTACCTTTTTATAATTCTTAACAGTTTTATTTATTATCTTCGTATGCGCGGAAAGAATATGCAAAATTTATCGGTCGTTCTTTTACTTATCCGTCTGTGATTTTAGTTATTTTAAAACAATTTTTCGGATCTGCTTATATAAGAAATTTAAGTATCAAAGATTTAAAATATGAAACATCACAGTTGATAATAAAACTCATATATATTATTTATAAATATTTCTGACATTTTCAATGCGGATTTATTTCAATTATTGAAGTAATGCTATAAAAGACAGTAAAGGAATTATCAGTAAAATCCGTAAATCCATAATATGCTGGCTATATAAAATAATATAATTATATATTAATATTTAATTCTAATTAATAACTGAATTTATATGATGAGATAAAAACAGTATTATTAAAGATCATTGCGGATAAAATATTTAGTAATTATTAGTTTTCCCAATGCAATTGCTATATCATTGAAAACTATATTTTAATACTAAGATATCATTAACTATCACTTAAGAAAATCATAATTATCGATTCAGCCGACCACCTGTATCGCTTCTCTGCAATCAACGGCTCTCTTGTAGCCCCAACAGCGAGAAAATTATAGTGATCAGGCGTAAGGCGGTCGAACGGATTAATCACAGCGATCGAAGTCACGGTAATTGATATACTTAAGCAACGATACCAATTTACATTTAACGGTCCATATACTTATACGATATATGAGCTCGCGCAAAAACTTCCAAAGAATTCTTGTTCAATGTTTTATATAATCAAAAATAATTTTTAAATAATTTATAAGTTTTATATAATAAAATCAAACCTAATAAAATCAATATTTATTCACAAGCACGCATTTTTACAAAATTAATTATAGTACGAAATATAAGTGAAACAAATTCTAAAAATTAAACACTGGCATTAAATCAATATCTTGGAGATTAATGAGAGAACTGTCATAGAAAGAAATTAAAACAGCATTTTGATTCAAGCATTTTTCTGGATATCCTCAAAAATTAAAAAGGCGGGTGCTGTATCCGAATAATTCCACAATATACAATATACACTGTAGATATATCAGCGTAAAATAGCACGTGCGCAGAAACGCATAGTTCGTAACAGAGAAACGATCGCGAAGGCGAGATTCTCGTTTATCGGCGTGAACTCGATCCAATGTGAACTGGGCTTAGTGTGAAATTTATGTCCGACACGGGACGGCTAACGAGGCGTCGGCTCAATGCCGTTTAATTCTTATCTGACCTCTTGATTGGCTCGCGTGCCGCGCGCGGATTAACGCCGTCGGACCACATTAATTCCAGTAATTAACTTGGCCTCGCTTGTGCTCGACCAAAGTTCGACGCGGACTATCCCTTTAGGATCGAAACTACCATAAACTAGCGTGCACACGTCGCCCTCGATAATGCGACTAAAACGGCGCACTATCGAGAATACAAATTTCTCCCTGATTTCCGTCCATTCACTCTTGACGAAGCAAGTTAATCGAAACATATCACGAAAAACAGATGCGATAGTGTAACGCCACGCGTAATATGTTTATACGATGATGAATCACGTTAAAAAATTTATAAATCCGGTTTTAAAAAATTTGCAGTGAATGCAGAAAACACTAATCAAAAGTCTGTTTAAAAATGTAAACTTTAGATAATATTATTATATGTGTACTATCTGATAATTTTATTATTTATAAAAAGAGAGAGAAAAAGAGAGAGAGAGAGAGAAGGTTCTCTCTCTGCGTAACCATCCTTTATACATCTCTTATATATGTTTGCAGCATTGTGCGTGATATTCGTGATGTTATGTGGGTTGTTCAGCTTAACGATGCATTGTAATTTACATGCACGTACGATTTATGGTATAGCAATTAATGTTGAATGGCATAGCATTATAAGATACGTTTCAACATTGCAATTAAAATTGATCGCTTTTGACATGACAATCTTTAATCCTGATTAATGAATGAAATATCTATGAAGAGATTGATTAGAGACCTTTTAAACGAAAAAGTACACGTTTCGGTTCTCTTCGCGGTATATTTATCTCCTTACAAACGAGCTCTTGAGATCAACCGAAAAATGAATATACAATCGTCCGTCGATTATCAAAGAATTTCTTTTGGCGTCATTGTACAAAAAGGCAAGAAGAGAAATGTATTTCTATTTACAGGAAGAAAAACACGGGTTTGTACTTTGCGTCATGGTGTGAATAAAATTAATTTTCAGCCGGAATCGCATCTGTACGTAACCGCACAAAAGCGACATGAAGGCACGTGGCGATGTATCAAGAAGCTGCACTAAAAGGACCGTCGTGTTTTCAGATTAGAACCTCCGCCTACGTTTACACCGCCTAATCTGAGTACGAGTAGCACAGTGCATTTATTCACGAAGGAGAAAAACGTAACGTATAGCATGCACGTGTATAATAATAATAACGGGGAGGAGAGAAATGTCCAGATGTTTAAACAGAATATCGAATATTTTAAATTCTTTGAATTTAAACTAATATTTAAGAGCACAAAAAAAAGTTTATTTAAAAGACATTCTTGCATTATTTAGATTATTATAAACTATTTAGCATTCCTTGTAATTTTATTTAATCTTTTTTCTTTCGATTATTAAAATAGGTCTTATGAATCTGGTATTTCTTTTTGGTATTTTTATTATGCATGCAGAAATATGTAGAGAGAGTATGTATGTAC